CTAGACTGTAAGGTGAGACCTGGGGAGAGTGTTGTACCCTAGCATAAGCTGGTGGTTGCTGACTTCTGCTTTCGGATTCGAGTCTAGCGGGATAAGCGTGCCAAGGTCGCTAGAACGAAGTGGTGGAAGCTCAAGGGGGAGGTAGCTCAGGTGTTCAAGGAGAGGGTATTTAAGGAGGGCCCTTGGGAGGAAGGAGGGGATGCGGACAATGTGTGGATGAAGATGGCGACTTGCATTCGTAAGGTGGCCTCGGAGGAGTTTGGAGTGTCCAGGGGAAGGAGAAGCGAAGATAACGATACCTGGTGGTGGAATGATGATGTCCAGAAGGCGCTTAAAGAGAAGAAAGATTGCTTCAGACGCCTATACCTCGATAGGAGTGCAGCCAACATAGAGAAGTACAAGATGGCGAAGAAGGCCGCAAAGCGAGCTGTTGGTGAAGCAAGGGGTCGGGCATATGAGGACCTCTACCAACGGTTAGGCACGAAGGAAGGTGAAAGGGACATCTATAAGATGGCTAAGATCCGGGAGAGGAAGACGAGGGATATTGGCCAAGTCAAATGCATCAAGGACGGAGCAGGCCAACTCTTGGTGAAGGACGAAGAGATTAAGCATAGATGGCGGGAGTACTTCGACAAGCTGTTCAATGGGGAGAATGAGAGTTCTACCATTGAACTGAATGACTCCTTTGATGAGACCAGCATGCGTTTTGTGCGGCGCATCCAGGAGTCTAAGGTGAAGGAGGCTTTAAAAAGGATGAAAGGAGGCAAGGCGATGGGCCCTGATTGTATCCCCATTGAGGTGTGGAAAGGTCTCGGGGACGTAGCGATAGTATGGCTAACCAAGCTTTTCAACCTCATTTTTTGGGCAAACAAGATGCCAGAAGAATGGAGACGGAGTATATTAGTACCAATCTTCAAGAACAAGGGGGATGTTCAGAGTTGTACTAATTACCATGGAATTAAGCTGATGAGCCATACAATGAAGCTATAGGAGAGAGTCATTGAGCACCGCTTAAGAAGAATGACAAGCGTGACCAAAAATCAGTTTGGTTTCATGCCTGGGAGGTCGACCATGGAAGCCATTTTCTTGGTATGACAACTTATGGAGAGATATAGGGAGCATAAGAAGGACTTGCATATGGTGTTCATTGACTTGGAGAAGGCCTATGATAAGATACCGCGGAATGTCATGTGGTGGGCCTTGGAGAAACACAAAGTCCCAGCAAAGTACATTACCCTCATCAAGGACATGTACAATAATGTTGTGACAACTGTTCGAACAAGTGATGTCGACACCGATGACTTCCCGATTAAGATAGGACTGCATCAGGGGTCAGCTTTGAGCCCTTATCTTTTTGCATTGGTGATGGATGAGGTCACAAGGGGTATACAAGGAGATATCCCATGGTGTATGCTCTTTGCGGATGATGTGATGCTAGTTGACGATAGTCGGATGGGGGTAAATAGGAAGTTAGAGTTATGGAGACAAACCTTGGAATCGAAAGGGTTTAGGCTTAGTAGAACTAAAACCGAGTACATGATGTGCGGTTTCAGTACTACTAGCTGTGAGGAGGAGGAGGTTAGCCTTGATGGCCAGGTGGTACCTCGGAAGGACACCTTTCGGTATTTGGGGTCAATGTTGCAGGAGGATGGGGGTATTGATGAAGATGTGAACCATCGAATCAAAGCCGGATGGATGAAGTGGCGCCAAGCTTCTGGCATTCTCTGTGACAAGAGAGTGCCACAAAAGCTAAAAGGCAAGTTCTACAGGACGGCGGTTCGACCCGCAATGTTGTATGGCGCGGAGTGTTGGCCGACTAAAAGGCGACATGTTCAACAGTTAGGTGTGGCGGAGATGCGTATGTTGAGATGGATGTGTGGCCACACGAGGAAGGATCGAGTCCGGAATGATGATATACGAGATAGAGTTGGGGTAGCACCAATTGAGGAGAAGCTTGTCCAACATCGTTTGAGATGGTTTGGGCATATTCAGCGCAGGCCTCCAGAAGCTCCAGTGCATAGCGGACGGCTAAAGCGTGCGGAGAATGTCAAGAGAGGGCGGGGTCGACCGATTTTGACATGGGAGGAGTCCGTTAAGAGAGACCTGAAGGATTGGAGTATCGACAAAGAGCTAGCTATGGACAGGGGTGCGTGGAAGCTTGCTATCCATGTGCCAGAGCCATGAGTTGGTTGCGAGATCTTATGGGTTTCACCTCTAGCCTACCCCAACTTGTTTGGGACTAAAGGCTTTGTTGTTGTTGTTGTTGTTGTTGTTGATCTCTCGGGCAATATCCAGAGGACGGATAGCGGCATGGAATCGATCTATGGGGCAATGTCCACAGGATGGACAGCGGCATGAGAATCGATCTCTGGGGTGATGTCCACAGGACGGACTACGGCATGGGAATCGATTTCTGGGGCGATGTCCACAGGACGAACAGTGGTATGGGAATTGATCTCTGGGGCGATGTCCACGGGTACCTGCACAACCTAACATATTAGCAAGCACATTGCAAATAATAAAAAACCATAACTATGGTAAGCCATTTTTTTACCTTGTGCAGCTCACCGGGGGATCCCATTCCTCCCGGGGCCATCTCCTTGAATGGGGCGATCGTCTTGCCAGGGAAATACTACTTCTCAACGGCGACTATCTCCTCAAACCCGACCTTGAGCCTCTCATAGGTGGCCATTAGAGTTTCTGGGGTAGGCACGGTGGCGCCCTTGTTGTTCTTCCAGCTTTCTTTGCTCAGGAGTTCGTCTGCCAACGTCATCAACTCTTTGGCCAGTGCTTGTTTCTTGGATTTATTCATCTCCATGGATTGGCCCGCCAACATCGCCAACTTGTTGGCCGGTGCGCGCTTCCTGGAGATTTCTGTCTCGAGTGGGTTGTCCGCCGATAACTCTTTGCCTAGTGCTCCAAGATCCATTTATTCAATAAACTGACAAATAAAAAGCAATCGAAAAGAACGGTAAAAGAGTAGGCAGTGAGAATCGGTAGGTGCTTCGCAAAAAGAAGATTCTTGGAATGAAAAGAGTAGCATCACTAATTTTTTCACCTTTCCTTCGTTGGTAAGAAAAATGGCAGAAGTGAGTAGCCTGAAGTGAGGTTTTCTTCAAGATAGGGGAGAAAGGGCTTCAATGAGCGTTCCAGTGAAATGATGGTTGCTTCGCCCCATCCAACTTCGAGGCCACTTTACCACTGCTGGTAAGGTGTGGGTTTTGTGATATAACGGGTCATGACGGCCACACCGAGGTGACTGGTGAGTCCTGACTGCACCACCTTGCTGTGATTTGGTGGATGGCACGTGGGTCGGATGCTTGATGTCCCGCATGTCCGTGAAACAATGTAATAGAGCGGCTTGTCATAGAGTTTGGACGACGGAGGAGGAGCTGGCAATAGTAGTACTCCATAAAGAATGTACTCTCACATTTTGTTCTGAGGATTAACTGTACTCCCACATATAAAATATAAATAATAATGCATGTTGGTGCAGCCCACGTTTCCGATAATTTGAGCCGTGGGATTGTTCACAAATTTTATGAGCTGATGGTTGTTCACTTAATGGAGGGTCTAGTATCAGACGTGAACGTAACAAAGTGCGACCTGGCCCACCGTTATGGCTGGAACAAAAGCTCGTAGCTTGCGAGCTTAATGAGCCCTCGATAGTTCGGCTTGTTATCCTCGTGGATCACTTCTTAATGAATAAAGTCAATCATCAATTTCTTAAGGAGCTTAACGAACGAGCTAACAAGTTTCACGCTAAGTTTGCTAGTAACAACACAACACATATTTCATCTTACGTGAAAATTTGTTAACGAGCACTCACGGACTTAACGAGCTTCAAACGATCGAGCCGAGCAAGGTTTTTTGCTCGTTAATCTTTCTGAGCTTAACTAACCGAGCCTTAACGAGCACAAACTTAACAAGCCGAGCAGCTCGTTAATTCACCCCTGCACACCGCTTGAAATAAGCGGATTGTTTTGATGGAGTGAAAAAAGAAAACTACCCCACTCTCAAGATTATCCGGAATATTTAACAAGATTGAATATGGAGAAGTGTTAGAAATTAATTAATAGATTAATTAGCACATGCTAATCAGTGAAGAGGTGTGTCCAACCCCGAATAGTCACGTCTCAGGCACATGTTCAAGGGATGCCTCCGAACAGGCACCTCTTCTCTTTCCACCTCTTCCAGATGTATATAGCCATCAAAGCCACACTGCCGCGAAAACTATTCCTAAACTATCTACAGGTCGCGCCGAAGCACCGGGGATCTCCACACCTCCCTGCCGCCGGAGCGGCAGATAGAGGAAGATCCCAAGGGCTCACCGCCGACAGTTGAAGATGGAAGTGGATCTCCGCCCTGTTCGTCACTCACTAGAGTGAAAACTGGGTCATGGGGGAAACTGTGCCGCTAAGCTTGCGAGTTCGATGCATCCCCTGATCAACTACCCTCTCGGGGCTATATATACCTGTAATCAATCATCAGTCTGTTCTGTTCAAACAAGGAGGGGTCTGCACATGCCAACGTCTGACCTCCGAACAACACCAGTGGCAAGTTCACGCAACGACAACAATCATCATCATCAAGGGGCGTAGGTGAGGCGTAGTTGAATAGTTGCACGATAGGAAAAAACACAAAATTTGTTTAAGAGCATATGGTGCAAGGCACAGGTAGAAAGGATTTATTTTTTCGAGCCACAGATAAAATTGAGCACATACCATACAAGACAAGATGGCACAAGCAGGTAGTAGTATTGTCTCATGGCTGTGCCCAACCTACAGAAGTATGCCCGCCAATAAAATTGCCCCAATTACAACAAATAATGTGATTATGTGATTATTGTAACAACGTCAAGAGTACCACAGCAAATGTAAGCTACGGTAAAAATTGCTTAAAACTCTGTCTACCAAAAACAACCACGGGAGTGCAAAGCTGCTGGAAAGTTATTAAATGTGTTGAATAAGGATTGGTACTCTTGTCCCCAACTGGAGATCTTATATGCCGATCTTCTTCTGGTACTTCTGGATTTGATTCAAGAAGAGCCACGTCATCTGCAAAAAGTAACCACATGAGTATGCTGCATTGTAACGGATTGTTAACAAATGGCTATGATTGTCTGCCATAGGCCTTGCGCTCTAAGCTAATCAGCGTTTACCATGACATGCGGGGCGATCCTGACACAATATACAGGGAAGCCGGAGTAGAATTTAAATGGGCCACCGGTCTTCAAGGTTTGCATGGCGCAGTCCAAAGACCCAGTGTATGGGTACTTGCCAGTGGCATCAGGTTGCATCTTCTGAATTTGTGTTTTCACGTAATCAAAGGGCAGACTGCAAGCAGCCGCACAGAATCCAGAAATGGCACTGGCTCCTGCAAACCGAAAGTTAGAAAATTTTGTAAGTTCCCTGATTGGCCTATATAAAAGGAACATCAGCAAACCTCATCTTCTAACAGTGATAAGAATCCTAAACAGCAATGAAAAGGAAGAATCCTAAACAATAATCTTACCAATAACAGTCTGATATTCTCCGGCACCCAATTTGTCTCTGAACAGCTCAACACTTTGATCATAGGACGCAAGCATACCCATATTCAGTGACATGGCTCTCACCACAGTTGGGCCTGCACCCTTCCAAAGCGCAAGGACGCCTTCATCAGCGGTGATACGGTAGAGTGCATGGAATGCATTCTTGTAGTGACGCCGCTGTGCTGCTGGTAGGGTCGAGTCAGCTTGCATCCTAATGAGTGCCAAATCAGCAGGACTGCCCACACATGCGCCAATCGCTCCAGCAGTCAGACCAATAAAAGCTTTCTGAACAAGTGGCAATGGCTTCCCATCATTTGCCTCAATTGCTTTGTTTGTCAAAACCCTGACAAGAAATATTACCAAATACAAAACTCCAAATGAGGATAAATCAACTAGAATCAATGCAATAATAAAGCTTCTTTTTCCTCAGTGAAATGAACTAACCCAACTTCATAATGATACAGCTGATTCAGACATTATAATGTAATAAACAATAATTGAAGTTATGGCAACAGCCTAGTATAATTAACATTTTGATAACAAAAAAACTCCAAACCAAAGACATAATAGCTCATGGTAATTATCCAGTCATATGCATTTATTTCAAATACAACAGAGATCATACTAGACAACTAGATATTGCTTCATCAATTATTGTGCAAGCAATGACTATTTATCTCTACTCCTAATGGAGCAGTTGGTAGTCTCGCTTCCAGGTTTTTTTTCGTCCCACCACTTTCGTCCGGGTTTTTTCGTAGGTTAACCGTCATAGATTTTTTTCGATGCTGGTTTCTTATTCACCGGTTTATTTACCCCTCAGCTCTTTCCTTGCAAATCAGCAATTTCCAAACGTGCACGCAATCACGGATCTAAATTTACTAACTTATCCAAATCAACCAATACCTTCCATTATTGCAAATTTCTTTAGGAAACAAATAATAGATTTTAAGAAAACAGATAAAAGATTATAAAGACGCATCATACTTTACTAACAATCACTAAAAATCAAATCTAAATTAATTAACCTTACCTTAAATCACTCAATCACTTTAATTAGAAAACATTTTCTTTCCTAACTGCAGTTGGTAGTCTCGCTTCCAGGTTTTTTTTCGTTCCACCACTTTCGTCCGGGTTTTTTCGTAGGTTAATCGTCGTAGATTTTTTTCGATGCTGGTTTTTTATTCACCGGTTTATTTACCCCTCAGCTCTTTCCTTGCAAATCAGCACTTTCCAAACATGCACGCAATCACGGATCTAAATTTACTAACTTATCCAAATCAACCGATACCTTCCATTATTGCAAATTTCTTTAGGAAACAAATAATAGATTTTAAGGAAACAAATAAAAGATTTTAAAGACGCATCATACTTTACTAACAATCACTAAAAATCAAATCTAAATTAATTAACCTTACCTTAAATCACTCAATCACTTTAATTAAAAAACATTTTCTTTCCTAACTGCACCCCGCTTAGTGTGCACATAACAATCCGAAGTAATTAGAGTCACATAATTGAATCCATTTATTTAGAGCGACATGATTGAATTCATTTATTAACAATAATCCTCACCAAAAGTGCATTTAGCAATTTTAGAGGGCGGACCAAAACTCTGCCATCCACTCGCCCGCGTTTGTTTAGGTACAGGAAAAAATGGCATAATATATGGAAACAACACGACCGGGGCGGCGGCGCAATCTTCAGGGATAGGGGATCGGAGGAGAAGGATTGGCCTGGCAGCATGATCGGGGTGCTTCCCCGCGGCCGCGGCCGTCCTCGCGATGCCACCTACCCAAAATCAACGCTGCTCCTTGCCGTCAGCCAAGGCGACGCCGCCTGCCCTCCTACCCACGGTCCGCTGCCGCGTGCAGCTACGGCGAGAGGAGTAGCGACGGGGCCGAGGTCCTTCATGCGTTCCGGGATGGAGGCCATGATTTCGTCGAGGTCGTTGCTGCCTCCTACACTCAGGGTGTGTCGCCGAGATCGAGGCCATGGTCACCCCATCGCAGGGGATGGAGCACGCCGTCAGCCTACAGCTTGTGGAGATCACTGTTGCTCTTCAGGTCGCGTGGTGACCGGATCTTGCCGATGTGTCCCTCCCCGACGACCTCCTCTTCGCCCGGTTGGCCGGCATGGATCTCGCCACTGCTGCCCTCAACTTCTCTGCCTCGAGCTCGACGGTCAGCCACCATGGATCCCCCAGCTGGAGGGTCATGTGAACCAGCCGTCCTCCCATGCTGCAGCGGCGAGAAGGTGACATGGCTCTCCGTACACGAAGAGTGGAGTTCAGTCAAGTACTTATATACTTGGCCTCTACTGCTGATCCATGTACATGGAGAAGAACAGACAACCGCTCATTCATGCTTCGTTCCACTCCTTTGCGCTACGTTCCACTCCTTTGCGCTACATTACTAGAGGTGACATTTTCCTATCTCTCTATGTTGTAACAAGCCTGCTGCCTGCATAGTTAATGGATTTTTTATTTAAATTTATCGCTGCTTAGTGCTTTGTTGCAATTGTTCACCCAAGATTCTTATATATAATCTGAGCGTATGTAGGCATACTTAGCTTTGCTACTCCATTTTTTCTGGCGCATAGAAATAAGAGTATTGTACAGGTTAGGTATTCAATTGAGTATGGTATTTGGATTGCTATCAGAATGTCTTTTCTATGCATGTGATTTCTCACATCTGGTTATAATATTTGTGAAGACGTGCATTGCACGTGCACTTGGAAGCGGGCTCGTGGCCCGCGCTGGACGGCGCCGACGCCGACCCGAGCCACCTCTTCCGCGTATTCTTGGAGCTGTGGCTGGTCGATTTACATGAAATTAATTCCCTCAGTTCTGGTGGCAAATATAATACACATAATCCATATTGTTATGCACTAGCGTGTATGTGTGAAATAGATGGATTATGGTCCCGTACCCAATAAGATGGATATGTGTGTGTGTTAGAGAGAGAGGGAGAGGGGAATAGAGAGTGAGGAAGAGGGAGGGAGAGTGTGTGTCTGTGTGTGTGTGAGGATTTGATGGTAAAAAAGGTCGCCAATGTCGTAATATTGAACTCTTAAAGTTAATGTGGCCCCCTTGCAACGCACGGGCATTCTTCTAGTATCGATTAAACAACCACGTTATACAAACCTGAAGGATCCAAGACGAGCTGTCGTATAGGTCGCTTGCCTTAGTAAACCAGCTGACAAACCCTGTCAAAAAAATGTAAAACTTGAAGCAACAAACCAATTCAAGAAGCACAAAATAATGTGCTGTTGTAGGTGAAATGCCAGCACATGTCATTGAGGTGTTCAGATCAAACTAGAAAACCAGCATCAGCGATACAAACATCATCTACAAAATGAATGAATCAAACCCAAACAAAGGTCTGAAGGATAGATATGTAACAGAGGATAGGATGGGATACTTCTGATCTGAGCCATGCAAAATCTGTATTCAATTCCATAATTCCCCATCCAATGGTTGTACTTGTAGATAAAGATTAGACTCCTACAATCACTGCTAAGCTTAGTAACTCTAATTTTTATTTATTATCTCTGATGTATTCCTCTACTTAAATCTGCATGAATGGAAACTGTGGTTTCTCATGCTTCATGTGGTATTTCGATCCAGAAAAACATTATGTTGTTTACTTTTGGAGTGAATATCCAGGAACCCCAAGCTCTGGGTGGTAGTCTCATAAAACACCAACTTTTGGAAAATTTATCACACAACCACAGTTTATGGGATCACAAAAACTAACAAGACACGCCCACATGGCAAGGACACAGGAAGATTAAAGTAATTGGGCTTATGATTATACAAAATTGGAGATTTGCAAGAGGATATAATGAGAATATAATTGGTGGTGCAAATGGTACTATTTAGATTGATTTGTACATCTTGCCATAAAAGCTATTGTTATGTGCTAAAATTTCAAAAAAAGTTGGATTCAGTGTGACTATTGCCCCAAAGATTGGGTTTCCTTGATCTCTTACTTAAGAGTTCTGACAAATTCTAAACAATGATCAATATATCAACTTACAAGTTTTTTTGTGATTGTAAATGTTTACTATAATTTTCTTCCAATATATTCAAGGTGAGAAACATGCACAAATAAGAAACTATAGTTGTGAATACCAGATAATATTTACACGTTCAATTTATGTTTGTAAGCCGTGTTTTCCATGTGAACTGAGCAACTGACACTAGTACATGGCAAATGTACCAACGACAGCAGAAACATACAGAACAGTTCTGCACAATATGAATAAAAACATCTGCAAGCACAAACCTTGTAAAAGGAACCAAGGCCCTCATTAGCATACATGGTCTTTGCGACCTGAGCTGCAGATCCCTCACCCAACTGGATCTTCACCTGAAACCAAAAACAGGAAAAGCTATATGAAAAGGATATTTACACAATCTCCGTGTTTCAGCAAAAGCTATTAACATGGTTTATTTGTTGTGATCATAAGACATAACATTCAACTGAACTCTCAAGCAAATCACCCACTTAACTATGATGGCATGTTGGTCGGTGCTTCCAAAACATAGTGGTGTGGACTAATTCTGTATATGCCAGAACATTCCAGCAGCAAATAGTAATAACAGAACAACATCTCAAGATCAATGAACTATTGCTAACACATTAAAAATCAGTAAAGCCACACAGACACACAGATCTTCTTAGTGGGATCTCCATGGAGGATCTAAGCTACCACATCGGGCAGTTTTGACTGTAGATAACAAAAACGGATTGTGTCACCCCCACTTACACTCATGATGTGACAGTTTCCACACAGATCTAAGAAACAAGAATAGCCACCCGCAGTCCCAGACTAGCGTGCAACAAGTTCCCCTCCGTTAAGGGAGCTCACTCGAGGGTGCACTCGTCTTACTCAGATCTAACCAAGAGGTGCGCAGAAATCTATCAACCCGATCCATCACTCGGCGTCGCGCGCATCCACCATAACCAACCACAGATCTAGGGCTACTCAACAAACCCAGCCACGGAATCTTATACCTCGAGTGAGCCGGAAACAAGAAAAGGATTCCGTACCTTGATCATGTCGATGGGCTGGATGACGCAGGTGGCGAGCATCCCGGAGGCACCGCCATTGACGAATGGCTTGATCGTCTTCCAGACGCCGGTGGGCGCCGCGGCCTGCTGCTGCTTCGCGTCCGCCATCTCCTGCCGGCGAGATCTAGCCGGGCCGGGAGAGGAAGTGTAGCAGACGCGAGCGGAGGGAAGGCGATGCGAGCGAGGAGGCCTAGATCGCTGGGTGCCGTTGCGCTTTTATTATTGCGCCGAGGGCGACGCGAGGAGATAACAGGATTACTTTTTCCCCGAGAAACAAAAGATAGGCGATAAAATACTACTTGGGCCGTAAAAATTGTGTAATAAAGTAGCGCCGCGTTCTCGTGAGCGCCGTCGCGGCTGTGCGCGTGGACGTGGTGTACAGGAGGCGGTTGGAGGCGCAAGTTGGCACAAACAAGGTTAGGGCATGTACAATGGTTGATAAGATAGTTTTATCTTAAGTTTTGTATGTAATTTAGAGATAACAAAAAAAAGTCTACAATGGGTCATCTCTTAGTCTTATCTTCAATAAGTAGCAATTCCTAAAAACGTGGTGAGACATATTGTGCTAAGAGATCATCTCTTGTCTTCTCTTATTTAAGAGAAGACAAGCCTTTTTTTATGAATTCTCTCTCCTCCACCTCATCATTGATCCTACGTGGCACTACTAAGATAGCACCATTGTACATGCCCTTAGTAGTACGTCAGGACTCAGGAAGAGAAAAGTGCTGGTGGCGTATGGGATCTGTCCGTCCGTGGATTGGGAGGGAGATCTTGTGCACGGTGGGGCCCCTGGGCAGGCCCAATTGCTGGTGTGGTGGGAGGCGTGGTCCAGCCTACTTCGTCGCCGTAGTTCCCGTCCTTGCCATGTTTGTTTCTCCCGCTTATACGTCCAAACGCCTCCGAAAGACCGCACGCGAGGCGAGGCCACGCATATTTCCCTTGATGTCCAAGTGCTCCAATATCATATTGTACTATTTTTTTTCAGGGAAAATCAGAGAGCTTTATATTCATTAAAAGCACTTTTGGAGCATTCAGCCAACAGGCTGGTCACCAAGAAGCTAGAAGTATCATCAAGACAGCTTTCCGTCACATTCAATGTGCAAGCACGCTCCGCACACAGATGCGCCGGAAGATTCGCAGACCGGTTTACATGCTGAATATCGAAAGAAGAAAAAATAGTACAGAGCTCTCCTATTTCTAAAAGTAAAGGGGCCACAATTGACCGAGAATTGTGGCGAGTTTGCCAGAGCTTCACTAGCTCCAAGCTGTCGACTTTCATAATCACATGCGGAAATCCCTCGAAGATAAGCAAAGCGTACTCCATCTCGCAGCGACAAGAACTCCATCATCAAGGGATCTGAAACACCCAAATATGGTTTGCACCATGAACCAAGGAGTGCAGAGGATGATTGGGCCACTCCTCCTGCACCGCCCCGGCCTTCACCAAAATTTAGAGCGCCGTCAGTGGTGATCTTGACCGAGCCCACTTCCAGGGGCCGCCAATCGTAACCCGGTAGGACCAAGGTTTCCTTACGAGGTAGCTGTAGGAGGGAGATAGACTCCTTGATTGTTCTGATAGTTGTTGTGGGATCTCTCCCCTCATCGCCATGTTTGATTCGGTTCCTGGAATGCCAGATGGACCACATAGTGATACTGATCTTAGCATGGTCATCGGATGTGAACTGAGGATCACAAGTGATATCTCGTGCCCACGTATCCGAGTGAAGAGGGGGGAGCGAAGACCAAGCCATGTCCACGCCTCTTCCCAGAAGCTTTGTGCATGTGGACAATGAATCATCCCATGCTTCAAATCATCCTCCATAGAATGGCAAACCTTGCATTGACGAATCTTTGCAATGTGTCGATAGTTGAGAGTAGCTTCATCTGGAAGAATGCCACGTAACACTCTCCACCACAAGACTCGCGCTTTCGGGATAACATTCAACTTCCACAAGGATTTCCACAATTGTTTATCGTCCAATGAGGTTTCAGTAGCCGTCCCTTCCTCTAGAGCCAAACGCTCGTTCTGAGTCATGAGAGCACGGTATGCCGTCTTCACAGTGTAGTTTCCTGATTTATCGAATGCCCATGCGAGAAAATCATCACCCCCGCCTTGCCTGATAGGAATATTAAGTATGGCCGCCGAATCCTGGGCGGTGAACTTGTCCCTGATCACATCATGCTTCCAAGACCAACTCTCTGTGTCGATGAGATCCGACACCCGGTCGATATTTGTATCTGTAGGCCTCTGAGTTGGTGTCATGGAGACCGTGACTGGGGTCCACTTGTCCTCCCAAACTGAGATAGTCGAGCCATCTCCCACTCTGGAGATTAAACTAGTTCCAAGGGCATTCCTTCCTGCCACAGTTGCCCTCCAAGTGGCCGAAGCTGACTTGGGAATTGAAGCATGCATGAAATCGGTGTCTCGGAAGTAACGACCCTTGAGAACTCGCGCACAAAGCGAATTTGGGTTGGTGATGAAAGGCCACCCATGTTTTCCTAGCATAGCCAGATTAAAAAGATGCGGGTCTCGAAACCCCATCCTAGCCTTGCACTTGGGTGTTGAAAACTCCTTCCAGGACACCCAATGCATTGCTTTTTTGTCAAGAGAGCTACTCCAAAAATATTTTGCCATAGGAGTAGTCAGACTCTTGCAAACTTTCTTGGTAAGAAGGAAAGTGCTCATAGGATAAGTTGGGATAGATTGAATTACAGACTTGAGCAAAGTTTTACGGCCTGCACATGCAAGAACTTTTTTCCGACCACCCTTGCATCTTACCACGAGCTCTCTCACTGATGTGGTCGAAGGTACCAGTAGTGATACGTCCAACAGCGGTGGGGAGCCCCAGATACCTCTCACTGAACGCCTCGACCTGGATATTCAGGGTCGATTTCAAGACTTGCCTGACAGTATCCGGAGTGTTGGTGCTGAAATATATGGAGCTTTTGTCCCGATTAACACACTGACCCGAGGCATCACCATAGACTCTCAAAAATCCGTTCAGTCGCAGCGCACTCGAGGTGCTTGCGTTTATGAAAATTAAGTTGTCATCTGCGAACAACAAGTGAGAGACCCAAGGTGATCTGTAGCTCACTCTCAGGCCCATGTCAATAGTTCCACCATTGTAGTATTTCAGCAATGAGAAAAAACCCTCTGCACATAGCAGAAAGAGGTAAGGAGAAACTGGGTCACCTTGTCGAAATCCCCCGAGTTGGTATGAAGTAAGGAAGTAGCTCTCCATTGACTCGAAGAGAAAAACAAACCGAGGTAACACACTTCATAATCAGTTGTATGAAAATTATGCTGAGACCCAATTGCGACAAAATTGCTTCAATGTAATGCCACTCGACATGATCGTAAGCCCTCATCATATCCAGCTTGATCGCACAAGAAAAATGCTTTCCTTTCTTCCTTCTTCTCATCGTATGTATACTTTCATAAGCGACAAGCACATTATCTGTGATGAGACGACCAGGAACGAAAGCGCTCTGTTCTTCACTGATGATATCGTCCATGATGTATTGCAAGTGATTCGTAATAACTTTGGCCGCAATCCTGTAAAGCACCGGACACAAAGCTACAGGACGATATTGTGAAATCGACTGAGGGTGTCGTACCTTAGGGATAAGTGTGATAGAAGTGTCATTCAACCCCGATGGTAGTTCGCCCCCATTTAGGAAATCCAGAACTGTTAGAGTCACACCATTGCCTAACAAATCCCAATGCCGTTGGTAAAACCCTGCAGTAAAACCATCAACGCTAGGGCCCTTCGATGGAGCCATTTGAAATAATGCCACTTTGACTTCCTCTGTGCCGTAGGGTTTAGTAAGATTATCATTCATGCCTTGGGTCACCTTGACAAGCACATGTGATAACAGGTCACTAGCATCAGCAAAACCCTGTGTTTGATACAAGTTTTGGTAGAAAGCTAGCACCTCCGCCTTGTCCTCATTTTCATTTTCACAAACTGAACCATCTACACGACATAAACCGTGAATCTTATTCATTCTTTTGCGTTGGGCAGCTTGTGCCTGAAATAGGAAGTATTTCGATCGCCCTCACAGAGCCATGGAACACGAGAACGCTGCCAGATCCACACCTACTCTTGGTGTAGGGCTTCCTTCAGGTTCTTAACTATGTTTTTCTCCTCATCTGTTGGTCCCGTACCCATAGAATGACACCGGATACGGTCTAGTTTCTTCTGAAGTTGTCTGACCATGTATGCCAAACAGCCAAATTCCTTTGAGCCCCACGGCTCAAGTATTGCCTGAAGGGACCCCAAGGCCGATGCAATCCCCTAGAGCCCTGTCGTGTGTTGAATTCCCCGCCAAGTATCACGTACCAGGCATCATAATCTGTATGCGTCTACCATACATTCTCATAGCGAAACTGCTTCTTGGCCCTTGGCCCGTGCGACAAATTTTCCTTTACTTCTGTTATGACAAGACAGTGATCAGACTCAACACAGGGGAGGTGTCTGACCCGTATGTGCTGGAAGAGTTGCTGGAACTCCTCATTCGCAAAAGCTCGGTCTAGCCAGACCAGCCTAAATCTTGCATGGAGATCTCATCAGTGACCTCCCGGAACGCTCTCATATGTGCTTCAGATCTCGCTCGTCTGCTAAAATGTTCAGATGCGTATAGAGTTCCATTGTAGTCCCCCATACACAGCCAAGCTGCATGTGGTATAGCAGAGAGAGTACGCATGAGCCACCAGCTATTGCTACGATCTGCTGTTCGCGGCGCCCCGTAAAAGCCAGTGAATCTCCATACTGATGAATTATGATTATTGCTATGAACCACCACATCAATATGACACTTGCTAAAATTCTTCAACTCAACAGTCACATCGTGTGACCAAAACAGACCAATGCCACCACTAAGGCCGACACTGTCACATAGTGTATACTTCAATGCCTCAACTCTTTTTGCTTGAATTTTTGTTTCCATAACAAAGAGAAGAGTGGGCCCTTCCAGCTTCACTATACTGTGAAGCTCCCGAACTGCCTCGGGGTTCCCAAGCCCCCGGCAGTTCCAGCTCAGGCATGTCATTGTATCGGGTAGGACCGCGGCGTGGTCTCTGCCGAATTCTCTGGTGTGGGCTTGTT